ATATTCAACCATTAAATGTCCCCGGTAGTGAGATGAATAAAGTCTCCTTGTGTCCATGATGCTTGCATCGTGTCCTGAGTAAAAAAGTTGCTGGTGTTTAGACGTTGATGGTGTTCTTTCCAAATACACCAGATAAAAGGTCTTATCTACATACGTTTATCAATTGTTGATTTAACTGCAACTATTTATATGTATTATGCTTTTTTTTCTCATAATTTACCGTAAACAATGTGATTTCCTTTCTACAGATAAAGGAGTGTTTTAAAAAACGATTCAAGAAAAATGAAGTAACTCCACGGACGGAAATGACGCAAAACGAGTGACTATAATGCATACATTTTGCATAGGTATTGACTATGCTGAACGTCATTATAGTATTCAAACTAAAATGCACTACAATTTTAGATGTGAGCTCTGCGTCTAAATGAAATTGTATGTGGTAATAATATTATTTATACACAATGCATGTTATATTGTACGATTTATTCACTCTATTATATAAAGACAAGACACTGTCTATTGTTAACAGTACACATTAATCTAAACTACAGGGTGCGCTCTCTTACTTACCTTCATGTTAAACATCACGATTAGTTTTGATAAAATAGAAGAATTATTTATGACCACTAACAGCAGATTGGATTAATTACGGAAATACACAAAGAGTTTACGGAAATTTATCACTGGGCCTAGACCTAAACGTTCAGGTTACATATTTCTCCTGGACAACTCATGGATAAATATGGTGTGGTAAACGTTACGCATTTATTTGTGTTGATGGTAGGGTGTTTAGGTAAGGTACATGAAGTACCGTAAGGCGTTAGTTTATAGGTCATTAATACTGTTACATCGCCTTAGAAATGATATACTTGTGACATATTGAAGATATTACTTTAGATATAGATTTGACACTTTATGTAAATATGCTGCAACTTTCATTTATATACTCTAAGATCTAGAGGTCATGTTCTGCCTTGCTGACACAAAAGGATGAATTATGAAGAGGAAAGCGAACCACATTTAACAGTTCAAAGTTGTTGAAACTGATATAAAAAGTAATGAAACAACCCCCTGATACATACATACATTCAAATTCCCCATGGACAGGAAGGCCTCATTTTAACTTTACGGATCTTCCAGTGTATAGTTTGATTAGGTGGAATGTATACACTCTAACAACTCTAACAAATGAAAAACAAAATAATTACACACACACACAAATACATAGGTCTAGCCGAAGTTGAATTGTGAGTGGAAAGACGATATTTTCGTGATTTTTTTTTATGTAGGGAAGAGACGATGAACAACTTATTTTCTTTTTTACATGGCATTTGGTTGAGTGATTTTTTTTTATGTAAGGAGGGACGATCAAAAAATTATATTTTGCCTACATTGCCTTATTAAATTCAAACCACAGGAATTTAAGTGATTGTGTAAAGAATGCCACGTGTACAAAACAGCCATTATTTTTCCTTCAATAAGCTGAAATATGGAATCATGTCCACTTCGTGAGATGAACACTATCCTATGTTGTTACAGTCCTCCCGACCGGTAGGTTCCGAACCCTAGACTTTTATTTTTATTTATTTTAATACCATATTTCAAGAGGGTGACCCATCCAGCAATGCTGATCATTAGGGGCCCTCATACAATACAAGAATAAAAACACGAGTCACTTAATTACACAAATTTATAAAATTCAGATATAAAAGATAATTTGTAAAAATTTGAGAATACATTAATTAAAAACGTTTTAAAAAGATAAACAAGAAAATTACAGAATATACTGTTTAAATTTAAGTCAGACATTATCTGATGTAATAATTTAACAATGTAATTTTAGGCTTTGAAATGAGCATAATTATAATATAGATATTACTAATTCTGTGGCATCTTGGGAGCTACTATGTGATGCCGGTTCTTTCTATTTATGAGACTCGGGGATATCCCGATAGAACAGAGTAGATTCGAGGGAGATCCCTTTGGCTATTATTATTAACTTAGTAGTAAATGTTCATGGAACCTGCATTATTGAATTGGGGCGAAATAATTTGACAAGAATTATATCAGCCAAATTGATCGAATTACATGAGAAAAAGCCCTCAAGAAATATTTTTTTTCCCAAAATGGTAAAAAGTGTCTTATCGAGATCCAGCTTATTGAAAATAAAGCCTTATCAAGTATTAGCTGTAATTTAAATAGTATATAATGTCAATAGATGTTTAACGTTTATGATTCAGTATGTAGAAATAAAGAAAAAAAAGCTTGGCCTAATGTAGTCAAGAAAAATAACGTAGTAGGCCTACAGTTTGGTATAAGTGTAAGCATATTAATAAATATACTGTACTTTAAAATTAGTAAATATTTGTTAATAATTTAAGGAAAGGGAAGAAGGCGGTATAATTATGAGCATTCACCATTGAAAAAAATGGACTATTACACTAAAGTAGATTTGAATGTGTGGATGTGGAAATATGAGAGAATTTAACTCGAATTTTAAAGTCTTTAATGAATTGGTCATTTAAAATGTGGCTATATGGTAACAATACATTGTAATACCTGTCATAGATCTGGTTGGTTTGTATATGTAACAGTGTAGCGTGTTTTCGTAGTATTATCGATATTGTATTGATTGATTCATTAATTCCTTGTTCATTAAAAACTCAATTAAATTTTTACCAAAACTAAAGGAATTATTATGCATAAAAACTAAATAGAAAATCGCACCACCGTCCCATTTATATGCAAATTAGCTAAAAATATGAAAATTAGTGATAAATATATGGGGTTCGATATCTGTTTAGCCTGTGGTGACAGAAACTTGCATGTTTCTATTTGCTCTAATGCCAAGTTTGCCTCAAAAAATATTTGACCTATGACCCTATGTTTTGCAGGATTTCCATAATCTCCACAACTCCTGTCTGTAGAGAATTATGGTTTCAAATTGGTCAGATTCATGTTTCTATTCACTGAAATACAACGAAGAGAATAAATTCTAAAAATCCAACCTCGAAATTAGCTAAAATAATATTTTGTCGCTGGCCGCAAGTTATGCAAATTAGGGTTAAAAATATGAGTTTGCATGTCTGTGTAACCACTGGTTGCAGATTTGTTTTTTCAAATTGTTCGGGCATGCTTTTATTTGTCTTAATGTAACATTTGCACCAGAAAATTACCAGAAACACCACGTTACACTTATGACACTACAGTATGTATTTTCAGGATTTTTTCTATCTTGTGACGACTGTACATGAACATTGATTTTGGTCTCAAATGATACAATAATCTTGAATAAATTCACTGTAATAAGTAATTTTGTGAGAAAGTGTCAATTAAGTTTCATCTTGCCCTTTGACCAAGCAGGTCACATAGTATTTCTTTGTAACTTTATAATGAGAAAATAGCTGGACTAATGAGTATTGATTTCCAGCTAAGCACTAGTGGAATCCTGGATCTTGGTACCTTGGAACTTTGCCTGGGTAAGGAAAAGGTACGGTGTACTACTGCGGAAGAACAACCATTACTTCCACCAGTATAGGTAAAGGAGATCATTGAGATCTCTTCGGGGAAAAAATACCTTGTAAACGGTTACGTGAACCGAACATGTGGTGGTAAAGTGCCGTTCTTATTAATAGAGCACTATTAAAAGTATGGTCTTCAGGACCAAGGTTTTCTCCTGGCTCGGACGTTAGTTGAGCCGAAAGGAGATTTGATTCCTCGGCGAAAAGTTGCTCATGGTCGGTACCGAAGTTGGAGTTGTAGTCCAAGGGGATGTTACCAGATTATTTAGCTATTAGAACTATACCAGCGGAGTATGGAAGGGATTGATTCGCAGTACCTTTCGAAAATTTGTGTTCGAGTACCAGGATTTAAGCAGCCAGCGACACAGATTTAAGTAGAAATTGATTAGTGAAGCATTCGTTTGCACTGGAGATGCGTCATAGACAACTCGTAAGAAACTAGGAGGAATTACACAAACAAGCACAAGACTTACTAGAACGAGAGTTATTGAGCCCACTGAACGTGGTTGTGGTATCAAAGAAAGATGGTACCAAACGGTTCTGCGTGGACTATTGTAGCCTGATTGTCCAGACTGTCAAAGATACCTCCTACCCAATTCCTAAAGTGGATGATTCCTTATGATGCACTTGCAGGGGCAAAAAGGTTCTCAACTTGATTCAGGGTACTGGCAGGTCGAACTAAAGACGAGGAGACTGAACGAAAAAAAAAAAACCCAAAAAAACATTTGTAATGCATTGAGAGCATTATGCCTAAAAAGTAATTCCATTTGGCCTCTGTAATGTACCCTCCACATTTGAGAGGCTCATTGAACGTATCATGATAGTCTCCAGTAGGAAGTTTTGTTGGTGTACATGGACGATGTTGATAGTGTACGCAGAGAACATGGAGGTCCTGTGTGTGGGATATGTAGTGTTCGAGACTGAAGTTAGACGGACCCAGTAAAAATCGAATCCGATATTCGCCTGTTCCTCAAAACCTACGAAGCTTCCTTTGCCTGGCCGCGAATTAAAAAAAATGGCTGCCTGGCCGCCTATTATTACTAAAAATTTATACAAAATTTCTCAGTATTGACGAAGCCGCTATTACAATTCAATGTCCCGATTGTTCGAGTGGGTAGAAGAACTACAACAGTCTCCTGTTCTGACTTATCCTGATATTGAAGGAGATTCCAGTAACTGATTCCAGTAACTTTACAGAGTTATAAGCCATTAATAATAGTTGAGTTGCTTTGCTTAAATATCAAAATATATCAAAATATTTATTTTTATACTATTTTTGTGGGTGGCCATTTAAAATTTTAAAATATATCCTAGCTTTTGAAAACCATGTTTATTAGACTCAGAAAACCAACATATGATTAAACACCAAAATTTCCATTCTTGGTAGTGGAAGTGGAATTATAAGAACAAACAATTTAATTTTCGACACTTTTTTGTGCCAGTAATCTTAAATTGTTGCCATCCTAGCTTTTTGAAACTATTGGACACAGAGAGCTCAATAACATATGTTTAGACACCAAATTTAACATTTTTCATTGAGGATTAATACGTTCTGAGAAATTAGATCTACGTTTCGATAAATTATTGAATTTACAATTACGTTTTGATTTTAATAGTAGACTTTTGCTGCGTATGGCACCCCATAGGCCAGAGACCAATACATTTATGAAAATTAAACGAAAATATACCGTATTAATTAAAAAGGGTCGTATTAGAGCGTAAAATTGAATTGGAACTGGGCTCTAGAATGCACATGCATTACGCCCTTACGCCCCCGAAAGCTCATGGATGGGCGTTACGCAACTGAAGATATCAGAAATAGATAAGTCAGGGTGTATCCAGAATTTTTTCTGGGTGGGTCGTGATCACAGTGGACCATTTCACAATTAAATAACAGCAAGATGGTATTAAAATGTCAATACTATTTGCTTGAAGCGGATGGCGGGCTCAGTTTCAGGATTGCTGGAATTGGGATAGAATACGTCACGCAATTGGCAAGGTCTTTGGACTCATTGCTGGTACCTCATCAATGCTTTTTTATTTATGTCATTGTGAAAATGTCCCAGAAAAATAATTTCTTTGTAAAAAATATGTGGACCTTTGAAATTTTATTTTTTTGGGGTGGGAGGCCTTTTGACCTTCCCGACCGCCCCTTGCGTACACCTATGTCAGTCTTGAGTGCAATCTATTATACTGTTTTTTTAAAGAGTTTTGTTGACCATTCCTTAAGAGGGGGTACAGATGAGGCCCAGAGATTCCCGATGAGGTTTCTCTTGGTCCCGGCTAGTGTAAAGTTACCCTGTTGAATATGGCTGGCTGGCTGGCTGGCACTGCTCCTAATTGACTACAGTTTTGCAACGATTATGTTGTGTTTAAATACTGTGCATTCAAAAACCCTCCAATTCCAAGACCCCTCTAATTCGAGATAACTTTTTCAAATATACCCATATCTCAATGTTCAACCTTTTAACACAAACCACCAAACCCTAAACCACCAAAGAATGTTCAACTTCATACTTGACAGTTACCTCGTACGTACGAGATAATGAGGTTGTACGTATTAATAATTATCTCGTACGTACGACTTAATATCTCGTACGAACGACTTAACGCCTCTTTCGTACGACTTCAATATCTCGTACGTACGAGATATTAAGATATCTCTTTCATACAAATTAGGCCTATTATCTCAAGTTAATTATCTCGTATGTACGAAATAATTGTCTAGTATGAAGCGCCGACTGCTTATTCATCCAGCATTTATACTGCAACACAGTTTATTGGAGATCACATTCTGTGGTGGTCATGGGGTTTGGTGCTTAGTGTTAAACGGTTAAAGACTGTTATTCATGTCTTTGAAAAAATGGTTCGAATTTAAAGGCTATTGGAATTAGAAAAATCTCGAATGCATTGTATTTTTACACAGATTTGTAATACTGTTAATCTTTGCAATAGTAGTGAAAATCAGGATCTTCGTGACCCTTTTTTGGGGACAAACGTTTCCCTACTGATATAGCATTGTTAGGGTATAAATAAAAAATTGAGCATGGGTCCTCCAGAAAAAGGGCGAAACATATTTTCTGGCGTTTATTTTTTAAAAGGCCGTCAAAATTCAGATATTTGCTTTAGTTATATTCAATGAAAAAGAGTAAATCTGGTGTGTAAGTATATGTTATTGGGGTCAGTGAATCCATAGAGACATGTTTTAAAAACCTAGAATGGCCACCATTTTGAAATTCAAGATTGACCCTGGAAAAATTATCAAAGTCAAATACTTCAGTATAATTCAACTTCAAAACAAAAAAAAAAAAAAAAAAATTAAATACTTCAGTATAATTCAACTTCAAAAAAAAAAAAAAAAAAAAAAAAATTAAAAACACGTTTTTTTTAATACAGTAGTGTAGGTGATTCAATGCCGGTTAATACACTCCATGATACAGATTGATGTTGCAGTGGCTTATTGTTTTATAGTAGTAAAACCCAAAATTTACAGCATTCATTTTGAAAAGAACACCCCCTCCCCACTTTACTTTGCAAAAGTAGCATCGAAAAAAGAAGGCTAGCCATGCCTAACCAGGGACGTAGCCAGGATTTTAAAAGGAGGGGAGCCGTTATGCGAATTACGTATGACCCCGGCGGGGTCAGGGGACGGGGTCAAGGGGGCGAATCCCCCTGTGAAGTAGCGCACTCTGAACGTTCTTAGGACTGTTTGAGAGGATAAAGTGAAAATTGCAATAGTGGCAGATCCAGGAATTCGAAAGAGAGGTGAACCATGGGGGGACTTTCACAGACCGAGGAACCACCCACCTCAGTCCCACCAGAAAATTTTTGATTAGGGCATCTCTAGATGGCCGGAAATTACACTCTCGCACTTCAATTTGAATATATTTTTCCTTTTTTTTCCTTAAAAAAATGAAGGGGGGTGCCTTGAATCCACCTCTACTCAAAAAATTCTTTATCCAGAATAGTCATAATCACGAAAAATGGACATGAAAAACCAGATCACATCCTAAAAACAAACAGCAGTCACTAAGACATACACCAGGAGCCGACTTGATGGAGTTTAATGTCATACCCAGGGAAGGGCACAGATCTGTTTTGAAAGGTGGAGGGGAGGGCATTTTGTAAGTCGACACCCACCCCAGCCCCACAATGGTTGGAGCTGAGGTGAGAAAATTTGAGGAAATAGTACCTATAGATGGCCAGAGATGACACTTTTAGTAAAATTCATCATCATCACCATTAGTCAAAATGAAGCGCCAAAAGAAATTGTCATGATCTTTATCAGGGATTTTTGACAACCATAGAGATCTTATTAATGTGTGTGTATACACCATAAAAAACAAAGCTTAAAAACGTTGTCTTTGAGTATGTACTTTACATAGGCCTACTTCAAAAACGTGATTTCACAAGCACCTCAGCCCCACCATGGCTGGGGCTGAGGTGAGGAAATTTTAGGAAATAGTACCTCTCGAGATGCCGGAAATGACACTTTTATATAATAAAATTCATCATCATCACATTACCATTATAGTCAAAATGAAACCCCAACAAATTTCTCATGATCTTTTATCAGGAATCTACTTAATATCCAGGACAACTTAGGCCTAATTATAGCTTACTAAGCTTTAACTATATATACTATAGTATGATCAACAAATCACAACTTTTTTTTCGCATTTAGCACAATTTTCTTCACTTTTTATTGCTATTAATATTATTATCAATTATTACTATCATCATTATCATCATTGTTATTATTATTACTATTAGTAGTAGTATTATTAAACAAACATGATCTTTTATCAGGGATTTTTGACAACCATAGAGATCTTATTCTTATTAATGTGTGTGTGATATACCATAGAAAAAATCATAGAAAAAAAGCTTAAAAACATTGTCTTTGAGTATGTACTTTACATAGGGCTACTTCAAAAACGTGATTTCACAACCACCTC